TCTGCTTAGGCCCTCAGTTTGCACTATTTCTAGCAGTCTGCAAAGGCCTCACAAAGGTGCTACAAGATCTCCCTACATACTTGTTTTTTAACCAATTTTATCTGTAAGCCACCTTTCTGGGAGAAAAGCAGCATACAAATAAAATAACTAAATACCGTATTTTCCGGCGTATAAGACGACCCCCCTCATACCCGGCGTATAAGACGACCCCCCCACTTTAACCACAGATTTTGCAGGTTAAAAAGTAGTCTTATACGCAGGAAAATAAGGTAATAAATAAAATAAATAACTGTGAACTATAATTGAGACCATCAATTTCTTCTTGATAATTAAGGGTTTAATCCTGCTTCAACTGAAGTCAACAGCAAGACTTTCACTGATTGTTAAATGAGCAGCATTTCAAACTTTAGCTACCAGCACAACATTAAAAGACACAACCAGAAAAATATCTCCAAGCAGACCAGGGTTAAAGAAGAAATACAAACACATAATTAAACATGCATGCTCTTCTCACTCTCATGCTACTCTTTGAGCATTCAGACTAGTGAGAGGTACAATTTTGCGGCTGGCTCAACAAAGGCATACTTAAATGTTTTTAGTTTGAAAGCCAGTTCATGATGGCTGTTAAGAACATGGGGTGGGGAATCATCTCCCCATCTCAACTTAACCCTGGCACTGCCCTCCAGGCAGATTATTTTTTCTATAAACACAAACTTCACAACTGTCAGAATGAAATAATTTAGTAACAGCAACAGCTTAAGAAAGCTACCAAAAACATACCTTAAAGAGATAGCCATTCTTGATTTTATTCTGTATGCTTTCAAACTGAGACATGTACCCACACATTATTGCAAACCTGAAAAGAGGGAATAAAATTTTGTTGTGAAGGTCAATATAGACTATTGTAGGATTTTCACACACACACACCTGAGAAAAACTGGTCAGTTCACATTGTCTGTGCAGATGTGCAGTGAATGCTATTTACTCAGAAGCTAGTCCCACTGAGTTCAATAGGACTTACTCTCTAGTAAGCAGGCCTTAATTGACTCACTAAACTGATTGAAAAATTTGTTAAGATTAAGCAACTAAGAAACTTTGAATCATACAATAACTCAATCTCATAGTATTTGTGTACATTATTATTACCACCAATGTTAACAACTTTATTTATATTCATCCTTTCCCCCAAAACGGACTCAAGGTGGCATGTACCTGCCAACTCAAAATGTTCTATAAACTAGCTTGCAATGATGTAAATCTTGATATTGTCCATCCTGATTCAAAAGAAGATATGAATGATTCAGATAGTTGGAATCAGTTTTCAGTCCAGCTGCTTAGACACAAGTTTTTACACTATACTCTCTCCTCCCTCACAACAAATCCTCCCCTGCAACCAATGTACATACATGATTTATGGCAATGGGAAGGCATAATTTTTCCATGATTTGCAGAAAGACTTTCCTTTCTAAAGGGACAAATCAATTTATGTTTCTCAGCAAATCCTTCTTTCCAGTACTAATTTAACATGTTTCTCCACCCAAAAAGAAATAATCAATGACAAGATGGAAGATCTTTCAGGAATAGCTAATCTCCCTATAGCCACCACCACCACCCATCGCAAAAAACCCCTGCTGACAATCCTAAGCACGGAAAGACAAGGAATATTAAGTATTTGGAAGAGAAAAGGGTACAAAAAACTTAATTTCCCCGATAAGTTTCAGAAATGCAGGCAACATTTGCTCTCCAACCTCCCTTGGCTCATTAGGTGCTAATCAGATAAACTCAGCATACCATAGCTAAACAGATTGCAGCTAGAAAAGAAAACAATGAAATACAAACAAGCTAATCCTGGGTTTCGCAGAATCTCCAAGTCTGTGCGTGACAAGGGAAGAAAGGTGCTGGGTTAAACCAGTTAAGAGCGATACTTTTACATGTAAAGGCCTTTCCAGACTAATAAAAAGCTGCTTATTTTTCTTAGTGCAAAAGTCACGCTAGCTACAAACTGGTGTGCACAGTAGCATATCTGTCCCTCAGTAATAGATGGAGGAGACTTAATGAAAGGGATATAGATATGCTGTACATTTATCTTTCCCTTTTGAGCTGACTTGATTAGCTGAAGCTGCATTTTTGTTAAATACATTTGAAAAGGGAAAAGTAAACTCCAAGGAAATAATTTGGAGTGGGAAGCAGGTAACTGAGATGGAGATTTCCAGTAAACGAGGGAAACTCAAAGAGTTTAGTAACGGAGCAAACAGAGTGCTGTGGCATTTTATAATAAACCTGTAAAATCTTTAAGGTATCATAGGACACAAAGAAATTTGCATCTGGGTAAACAAGTAAAGATCATGGGGCTGTCTGCACTGCAGAAATAATCCAGCTTGACAGCACTTTAACTGCCGTGGCTCAATGCTATGCAATTCTGGGAACTGTATTTCTGTGAGACATTTACCTTTCTTTGTCAGAGAGTTCTGGTGCCACAATAAACTAAACTATAATTCCCAGAATTTGAGATGTGGTGCTGGAGGAGTGTGCTGAGGATACTGTGGACCTGAGCAGAGCAGTGGAGGATAGGGAGACTTTGAGATGTCTCATCCACAGGTCACTATGAATTGAGGTCGACTTGAGGGCAGCTAACAACAGCAAGGGAATCCCTGAAATGTCTAACATTCCCCCTCACCCCTCCACCACCACACACTTTTCAAAAACAGATGTGGACTTGTGGTTTAGAGGAAGTTTTAAAAATGTGATTTTTGGCATCTCATGCAGCCCAAGCATCCTAGGGCAGAAACCTGGCCCCTAATCCAGCCCACCACTGATCTAAATGAAAATGCATGTATTTATATGCCATCTTTTTGCCAAGAGACCCAAGTGTGGGGTTATAATTAAATAAAAAAACTAAAACAAAAAACTACAATGCATCTATCTTTCTTGAAATCAATTTAGTACAAGAAAAGTAAAAGATAACTAAGCATGAAGGACTAAAGATACAAATCTGAGGAGGATCTTCTAGTATTGTTCTTTGACAGAACATACAGTAGCAAAAGATGCATGAGAGTTCATAGCTGTTTTGTGACAGCTCATTCATTCTTCCAGCAGGGCTTTTACATGCATGCTATTCTATAGAATACAAACTATTATAATCTATACAGTAGGGCACAGTTGTGATAGGACCAGAATATTTTTAAAGCATTAGTGGTCAGCACCATGAATGTTCTTACAAATGGGCATTGCTAACTGGAGCAATCCAATGATTTAAAAACAGCATGTTATTTGCTGAAGTGCTACAACTTAAACTCCGCATGGAGAATCTGATGAGGAAAACAACGATTACTGAAGAGAAAGGGATCAACAGAGAAGACACATAACTTTCAGGCACAAGATATTATGAAACCAGGCAAATGTGTTTATAAGTTCTTATTGCTGTGTGCCTTTAAGTCATTTCCAACTTATGGTAACCATATCATGGGGTTTTCTTGGCAAAATCTTTTCAGAGGAGGTTTGCCATTGCCTTCCCCTGAGGCTGAGAGCATGTGACTTGCCCAAGGTCACCCAATGGGTTTCAAGGCCCAGCAGGGAATCGAACCCTGATCTCCAGAGCTGCAGTCCAACACTCAAATCACTATGACACAGTTGCTTATCTTTAAAATACCTCTATTCTGCTTTGGTCAGGCCTCACCTGGAATATTGTGTCCAGTT